ATTTTAGATTTTATCAGGATTATGAATTTCTCAGGGTATCATTAGTGTAGTACACTGTGTTCAGTGGCACGTATCAAAACCATTAATATTCTTTTGCAATCTCAGGTTTTTGAAGTTGATCAAAAAGCTGATCCACAAGAAGAAGTAAACATCAGTGAAGGTACATTTAACTCCAAGAAGTGAATTAAACTGAACTTTATCTTATGTAATGTTACAAATGTAGGATGCAACTCTCCACTGAAGGCATCTGTCTATTGTAGGGATGTGAAGAAAAAAGCCCTTAATGCCACTTTTGATAAAAAAGAGTAAATAAAGTCTGTTTGTAAGCAAAGTGACCCAACTAGTGGGAGATTATTCTGGCTTCCTTAGCATGAAGCAACTAGGAGTTTCACCACTCCCCCCCCTAGATGGGATATCAGCTCATCACAAGGTTACCCCCCCAGCATTTTATCAGGCTTCCCTGAAAATTATCCGGTACCCAGTTATACTCCTCTCACTTTCGATTTAATGCTACATGACTTTGTATATTCTCCATCAAAATTGCAAGTATTCCTCCAACTGAAGTCTGGGAGAAAATTATTATCAATTGCATTAATGGTTACATAGCTGGGGCTCATGTTAAATTTTTATTTCATTTAGTAGATGAAAGCAGATCAAAGAAGTGCTTGAAAGATTTAAATGAGGAGCTACTTTGTTGTATCTGTCGTGAACTGATAGTATTGGCACACACTTTGCCTTGCTCACACACTTTCTGTTTTGGTTGTATCAGGGACTGGCTTTGGTAAGACATATCACAGAGCATTTTTTTAGTTCTAAAGTCATCTTAACCCGTAACCTTTTAACCCCTAAGGGTGATTAGCATCTAATTTCTCCTTACCATATCACCCTTAAATCACACATTAAAGTTGTGAGAATAAGGAAACAACCAGCAACTTAAGAAGTCCTTGATTGTGAAACAAATTCTCCTTGTCAGCACCTTTGGGAATGTATAGAGAACAGTATAGAGAATATACACAGTGATGTTAAGGTGTAAAGGTTTTAAGGTAAATCTATTTGGTCATGTGAAATGATTTGACTGCACATTATTCAACCACACACAAAAGTAGAATGTTTTGATTCAGAAACAACAAATTAGTCATAGGTCAAACAGAGTCATTATTTCATAAAAGCTTATTAGTTCACTTGTTTTTGCGAAGAAAAGAACCTTCATACAATTGATGTGTAATCTTCAATTGCAAAGGCATAATGTGTGGACTCTATCCTATTGGTTCTTAAATTGAGCTTCTAACCAATCACATTTGAGAATTTTATTTCAGTTTGATTCACTAATGTGATTGTATTGATTGATATAATTGAAAGAGTGCTTAGAAGAATAAAATGGAATGTTAATGAAGCAAAAAATATTAAAGTCATTTTTCTTGTTTTCTACTTAGTCATTCAAAAGACTGTAGAGCAAAGGCTCAACTCAAGTCTGCTGTACCAGTGAAGGTGAGTGAATCCTTTACACCCTAACATCAGTATGCATATTCTCCATACTATTTGTTCTACATTTCCTAAGGTGCTGACAAGGAGAAATTGTTGAACAATCAAGGGCTTCTTTAGTCTGTGATTATTTCCTGTATTCTCATGACCTTAATGCGTGATTCAGGGATGATATTGTAAGGAGAAATTAGATGCCAGTCACTCTTATGGTTCAAAGGGTTATCAGTTGAAGAGGTGATTAGAAAAGAGCCTTAAGGTTATTTTTTATGGAACACCAACTTCTTCTTTCTTTTTTGTGAGGTAATACAAAACAATGTGGAAGGAGAATCTTGTAGTTCATCACAAGTCACTTAAGGCTTTTTTTCTCTCTACCTCTTCAATTTTGCTTGCACAGTTAGTGAAAGTTAAGGTGAATGGTATTCTATAAGACATTCTTACATTATTTAAGGGTAATGCTTTGAAAGATTGTGACATCCCAGAATAGGGGTGGATTTTTAAACACTGTACTTGAGATGTATTTGCTTGTCTGTCAAGACGAGTCTGTGTCAGGTCTAGATGCATTCTCTACAAGTTTAACATACAAATTTTTGCACTCTTATCTGTGAACTGCTCTATAAACTTACTCAATGACTCAATTCTTATTCACATGTAAACAATTATTTTTTTTCATTTCTGTGACATGTCCTGTATTTTGCATATCAGAGACAAGAATTTAGTTTTAATGATAATAGGCAAGTGCTAAGCTTTCTGTTTGACCTTCCAGGTGCTAGACAATACAATAAACAAAGTAGCAGAAGAAGTTCTTTCTCCAGAGGAACTTGAAGAAAGGCAGCTAAAAATTCAGGTGAGCAGTGATTTGAAACAAAAACCTTCAACTTTTGCTGTTGCAGTTAAGTTTTGTATTAGATCTTTTAATAAACAAATTCTGGTGAACTGAACATATCTTTCTTATAGCATTTTCTTCTCTTTCTAACAAAATTAGAACAAATAGTTAACAATATATTTCACCTCAGTGGAGGTGAACAATGGTGGATATTTACCTTGCCACTCTGTGGCACATTAATATCCACCACTATTCACCAACACTGAAGTGAATATATTTTTTCAGAAACCAAAAAGAGTAGTTTATTTCTGTCAATATTATAATGAAAAAGGATTAAAAGTTGATTTTGTCTCTTTGCCTGCTTGGCAGTGAATAATACTTGCTGATTGCTTCTCAACAAATGAATCAGCGCACATGAAATGCACTATTCACCTGTGTGGTATTTTCAGACAAGTGATATTTGTGAATGTAAGATTCTTTGTGAACTTTGTGAACTCTGTGTACCAGTATTACTTTTTTTATGTCATTTCACTTTGGTTTATAGAAGATGAGCAAAGAAGCCAAAAAGGAAAATGGGAAGAAAGTTGTGCCTGTTTCATCAACCAGGTCAGGGCTGGTTGTTTTTTGTTTTTTTTTTTTTTTTTTTTTTTTTAGGAAACTTTTTGACTAAACATAAAGAATATATCATACATTTCTTCATTTCACCCCTGAACTCCCAGATCAAGTTTGTAATTCTTCTTACTGTCAACCATACAATACTTATAATGTAAGTTCAGAGAATTTAGTATTGGATCAACTAATTATTCCCAAATTGATATTTTGCTTTATTCTCATCACTTTCTAGTTGATATTGTATAATTAATTGGATAATTATTTTGGTTTCAATTTAGTGATAGTGAAAGTGAAGATGATGAAAGTGAATCTGTGCAAGAAAGTAATGACAGTGACGATTACTCAGAAGAGGTAATGTTGATTAAAGTTATTTTTGTCATCATGTTTTTTGATACTCTTTCAAAACAGTTCCAAGTTCCTCCCTCCCATCTTCTCTTGGCCCCAGTCTATGCAAGTCGGTAGACCAAGAGGGACTGTGCTCCATCTTTGTGGGAAGGGGGGATGGCCAAAATATCTCACTAAGGGTATGGAGAGTAAAACGTTACTGGAATTGTTTTACAGACTGCCTGCTGTTTATAAGAGATTGAAAGTCTTTGAACGCTAAGTTCTCTCTTTTGTCTCACTGAGAAAATGACGTGCTTTATAGTTGTTGATTTAGGGTACTGCGCATTTTCTTATGTGAAAAGGTGATCTATTACGTACATTTTGCCAGCAATCAGTATGATCCCGGGGTAACGTTTGATCGTGTAATATGATCATCCGGGGGAGGGTAGTCCTGAAAACGAATGTTGCAGTTGGTAATGGCTGACGTTTCTGCGACCTGAGCAGAACTCATCGTAAGAGTTGAATGGATTTGACTACACTCAACCAGGACCATCAGACTACACTATCGAAAGTATTTTTTTTATCAATCAACCTATTGTTGATTTAATTATTTTCACTTCTTTGTCTAAGGAGTCTGATGACAACGATTATTCTTATGGTGTGGAGCATGCCCGCAGTGGTCGTGCACTGTGCAGAACTTGCGGTAGTCTCATTGCAAACAGGTAATTTGTTCCTCCAAATAATACGTACTATAAACACCCTCCCCCCCTCACCTCCTTTCCGCCTCATCCTCTACGCACGTTGATCTTTAGATCCATTTTCAATGTAGCTCTTTAGATTTTCAGTGCAAAGAATTATAGACGACGCGTCAGTACTGCTTAATCCTTTAACCCCAAGCAGTGACTAACATCTAATTTCTCCTAAATTATTACCCCTGAAACAAACATAACGGTCACGAGAATAAAGGAAATGATCACCAACTAAGGCAGCTCTTGATTGTTAAACAAATTCTCCTTGTCAGCACCTTATGAAATGTATAGATAACAGTATAGAGAATATGCATACTGATCTTAGCATGTAAAGGATTAAACTATATGTCCTTTAATCACAGGTCTCTAAGATGGGTTGTGGCGTTCAACACCCGACATGGATATCGTCAGTACAGGCAGAAGTATTATCACCATTTAGAGTGTTATTTACCTCCTGACCATGTGACATTTGAGAGGGTAAGTTGATAAGTATAGTGAGGTGCATTAAAAGTACTACTTTTCGTGTGCCACACACCCAGAATTCCGCGCGGCACGCTAAGATCAAATATTTTTCTCACTGTTTTTTTTTACTCGCGCGACGGACGTTGCCGAAAAGGAAGGAACGCAAGCAGTCTACCAAAAATACTGTTGTACTTTCTGGGGGCCCTTCGTCATAGTGAATCGCTCTGACGAAGGGCTAGCGCTCGAAAAATCAGCTTAAAAATCTCTTTTATGGTGGCCAGATTACACTATCAGCTCAGATGATAGAACCAAATTATACTAACAGCCGAATTAGGCAAATCGCGAGATCTCTGTAAAGAATCCACGGTGAATTAATACTTATTAACACTCGGCAATCAACCAATAAGACTTCAGAATTTCGTCCAGCCAACTCAGTCTCGCCATTATTTTAACAACTTTTTTTTTTTTATCCATTTTAGCTTTCTATATCAAGTGACCTTTCAAGAGCTGACAGGAGACTGGTGACGGCGAGACTGAGAGAAAGATGAATTTTATATAGTGAAAAAGCGAATAATTTATTTATTATGTATCGAAGTAGGGTAAGACCTGTTCAATTGTAAATACGCTGGATGGAAGTAATTGTTTAGCGTTCAGAGCATTCCTTGTTGAGAGGAAGTCGTAAGGACACAGTCATTATTTAATGAAATAAATTTTTAACCACCAACTTCAAATTGTTTTTTAGTTTATATGCCTGCTATAGTATCCAACTTTCTTGCCAAGTCTCTTGACAGACACCTCTTTAAGACAGACATTTAGAGATTCATTCTTGTCACACCCGATCAAAATAAATGTCTACATCATGCGATGCTGATCAAAGCGTTAAGTATCAACATGTTAATGCTTCCAAGTAATGGAAAAGGTGGATGACCAAGTAAGATTTGTTTAAAGAGGGTAAGCTTCCAAGAACTGAGGTGCTGTGTCGGTGGAGAAGCATAACAAGATAATTTTGGTTTTATCAACTGAGTTGATAATGTAAATGTTTCGAAACTGATGTTTCGATCCTTAGCTCTCATTCCTTCGCTCTAACGAAGGTCTAACTGTCGAAACATCAGCTTTGAAACTCTTTACGCTTGCCAATTTACATTATCAACTCAGATGAAAAAAACCAAACCTGTCTACGACTTGTTTAGTTTTACATCCGACCGATTCGCTTAGACGGTGATGTGTTTTTTTCCCCCGGGTGTTACAGGTAAGTCTTCTCAAAGCAAAAAAATATATATATATATATGTGTTACGAAAATCCGGTAAGTACTTGTAAGAACTATAAACTATTAAAAGCCTTAATGAAGTCACTCTCGTTTAAAAGAAGGTTGCAGTACAAATTTATTCGAACCTTGTTCCCAAGTTTATAGTCGTGAGGAGAGAATTTGCACGTGTGAATCCTTCGACTTATTTACATCTTGGGTTTCCTCGTGGACTGAACTGCTTCACTTCCCTAGCCGACCTTAAAAACTCGTAAATTAGTCAATTGTAACGTTCAAAGATGGACTGAAGTATTTAAGAAGTTGCTTTTGCTCGAGGACAGACAGCTGGCCAAAACATTTCCACGACGAACACAAGGTAAGGCTGAGAAAGTGTTAACTTGTACGTAGTCTGCTGTATAGCACGTTTCACTAAGATGAAAGAATGCTACATCAACCGTAATATCTTACAGTTTGAAAGGGGTATTATATGTTAAAGAGGGTTATATTGACTAACTGAAGTCGAGTAAATGTATAGGGGAGAGAATTATTTTTCCTCGTGGCGTTTAATTCAAAGGTGTTGCATGACAAAGAGCAACCTCCTCGAGTAGGCGTTAAAAATATTTAACGATAAGCTCTACTTGGCTGAAAGGTTAGCAACATCAGAACTGTGAGATTCACTAGTTTTTTGAGGAATTTTAACCTGATAAATGAACCACTTAAAGTGTTTCACCGCCTGGACGCGGTCTATTGAAGCCTAAGAAATAATATTTATATTTTTTTTGCCATTTCAGATGAGATTCTTTGAGCAAGTATTCAAATAAAGTATTGGAAAGATTGACCAGGAAACGCGAGCAAAGAGTCGAACCAAGGTAGGAAAAAGCATCCAATTTATTTAAGATAGGTCTACAACATGTACATGTGGTTGCTGATGTCAAGAGAATGGATTGATATTTGCACCAATCCCTGTTGATTAATAACGCCAAAATCACGTATATTATAATAAAGAGCTGGCTTTTAAGGGTCATTGTAGGTTTCTCATGTAATTTCATGCGAGAAGAATTGGCAGCAGAATGTTTTCACGAGATGTAATTTTCTTGTCGGTTCCAAAGTTTTGGAAGAAACTGACGCGGAGTGAATTTAAATCTCAAGAAGTCAACGTCATAAAGTTGTTCTAAAACTTGCTTAACATAACTAATGGGCTTCTTAGGCTATTTCTTGAAAGAGAACTTATTACAACTCATTCATTTAAACAAATGCTCAGCCATCGACGAAACCCAAATTAGAACTGCATGAAATACTAAATTGGCGCAGTAAACGTTTCCGTATAACCACATACCAATTGAAAAACAAAGCCGTCGGTCCTCTGTTGTCAGGCTTTTTCTTTCTTTTATCCAAGTACTGTTTGCATAATGAAGTATGGAGTTTTACGGAAATCTTCCAGTGGAAGAGATGTTTAGAGTGTGTTTTTGATTAATTGTAGCTTCAGTAATGAGCTTTTATCTTTGGGACTATTCGTTACTATTCGTATAGGAAGACTGCAAAGAACTGTCAATTTGCTTCTCACGACACTCTGGGGCGGAGTCATGTCACCGAAAAAGAATGATTGGAATGTAAACAAGTTTTTGCGCACAAATTGGAGAACTTGATCTATTAAAAGCATAAACTTTTTCCCGAAAAATTTCAAGTAAATCTTCTCGTTGTACATTATCTATGATAAAATGATTTGAGCAAAATTTTTTAACAAATTATCGCAACAAAATTTAAAGGTATCTGAAAAAGAGCAGTGTAGACGACAGCGAATCAA